CTTTGTGTCGCTGTGTAGTCTCTGTTACTTCACCCGGCCGCCTCGTTTGCCAGCCAAGTCAGTTACTTTTGTGCGGTGAAGATTTTCCAATTGCCTCGTTGAGTCGTGTAAGTGGAAACAAGCGACAATGTTGTTGTTTTTTTTTTGTTCTGCTGCACTGTTGCAACGGTTTCATGTGCATGTTTTGTGCTTCGTAACATAAATATTCCAGCAGTAGATGGCAGTTTTGTTGCCACAGCGCATACATAAAATATGTGTCTCTGTAGCCCAAACCCCACACACGCACACACACACACACACACACACGAGCAGCACACAATGCTGACAATGATATGGACGACAGCCTCCCAAACGGCCAAGTAAAATGTTGTGTTTGTGTTTACCAAAAAATTGTTTATACGCAAAATTTTGTGCTGCGGTCGTCTTTTTACCCTTTCTTGAATTATTTGTGAATGAAATGTGAAAAGGTCTTAGAAACTAAAGCTGTGTAGGAGTTTCCCAAATTTCGATACTTAAACCTTTTTATAAATGTTGTCCAACCTTAAATTGTTAAACAAGTCTTATTAATTTTTATGAACTGAGTATATTTATAAATATGTTGATATGGGTCTACTCTCAAGATTAATTCACTTGTAGACGAATACTCATATCTGTGTCCTTTCAATTGGCCTCGCTATTCACACTCCCCCCAAAAAAAAAAAATATATATATATATATACATATTGCTACATTGCTTGTCTTGGCTGCTCGGCAATTTTTCAATTTTCCAAGGCTCGCATGGCTCAAGGACAATGCTCAGAGTCAAGGTTGATTCGGGTGCAGAGTCCGTTTTGCAACAAGTTTCAAAAATTCCAGCAACACCTGCCACGTGGCTGCATTTGCTTTGCTCTCAAGGCGTCTCGTATGTGTGTGTGTGTATGTGTGTTTTTTTTTTGTATGTGAGTAGGTGTGTGTGTGTGTGTGCTTAACCCACGTCGTGCCGGGCGCTTAACTGCTGCCTACCACTTTTCAAATCATCCACATCCGCATTCGCATCCGTCGCTTTGCCAACCTTGAGAGCTAAAAATATTGCCAGGCCGAGCCATATCAAAAGGCAAAAATGTTGAGCATTTTTAATGCAAGTGCCGCGTCGGCTAAACACAAACGGAGAGGCCGCATAAAATGGACATTTATATTACTTGTACATATGCATATATTTACATACGGCAGAGACATTCTTAGATTGAGTTTCGCCTACAAACTTATTCAGTCATAGGCCTCGAAAGATTTCAATCATAGCTGCAAGCCCAACTAAACTTTTCAGTGGTTCGATTCACGGTTCGAATGTGGACTTGGTCTTTCGCATCTGTAAAACCAGGTTTATATTTTCAAATAGCAAAAAGAATTAATCTTTTCGGCTTTTTGATTCGGCTGTTCTTTATTCAACTAATCCGTTTTAATATGCGGTTAATTATTAATTAATATGATTAGATTAAATAGCAAACTAGTTTTTCTATTCGCTTTTTTAAAATGAAAATAAGCGGTTCTTGTGAAATACTTTGGTGAATATTTTTCTTAGAACAACATTGATGGTCGTTTCATTTGAGCTCTGAAAAACATCGATACTCGTATTATATATGTGTCTGTGTGACTCAATACACACACACACACACACGGGCACACGTACACTGTATACCACAATGTCTCGTTTCCGGCTGGGGTATTGCCATTGAAATGTTGCCTCTGTTTGCAGCATTTGGTTCTGTTTTTCGCTCTGTGCTGCGGTTATTTTGCGTTTAATTATGCACTAGATCCGCACAAAAGACAAAAATGGCACGCCAGAGAACAGAAGCGTCAGTTATTTTTATATACCATACGCTTTTCATCTTAAGAATATGTTGGAGCTCCTTCCATTGAACTGTGTGAGAAAGAAAACTAAATATTTCTCTTTGACAGTTGTTAGCCATCCTTGATAGATGTCTTGTGAGTTATATACGTATATATATATATATATATATATATATATAGTTTATAGTTTTTGTAGCGGAGCAAAGACTTGCCATTGCTGCTGTGGTAATCCTGCGCTGCTCCCAACTGCGCTGTTTTGGCCATTTCCTTTGGCCATCTTTCAGCTTAATTTCATTTGCAGGGCATCAAATCAACGCAAAAATGGAGCAGAGCTTCCATCTCATTGAGTCTGGTCGAAATACAAACAGACAGAGAGAGAGACACATACAGGCACATATGAGCCTTGTGACTGTTTAATTTACTGACAAATCTAATTGAGTTTGCTTAATTATTCAGATTACGATTTGGCAGGAAATGTGCCCGGCAAGGACGAGCAATTTATCACAGAAATGGTATTAAGCTGCTAAGTTCAGCAAACACAGGGACATCGGGGGTCGAGATAAGCATAATAGATGAGAATTCTTTGAGAAGAAGTCCAGGCTGAGATTGGATCTGGATATGTGGATATGTGTGCATGTGTGTGCTCGTATTTGCCGCTGGGTTAAACGTGTCTGTTTGTGAATTGCACCGCAACATTTGCCAATTTCATGCATTTGCAATTTAAACTTTGCATTCTCTATTGAAATCGATTTTACATATATATATATATATGTAAGTACGTCGAGTATGCAGGAGTTGTTATGCAAATGAAAGTGCTTGGGCTTTATACCCTATACTCGCGTATCTAAAGGGCTGACTCTAGTTGAACGCTTGTATGCAACAGGCATATGCTGGCATATGGTGTTATTATTAAATTATATTATTATAATATTCAATCATTTTATGGCTTACCTTGCAAGTCGTCAACCTTTGTGCAGGATATATGCGAGTCAAGCAATTGCCAAAAGTTTGCTTTAAGCCGTTTAAATTGTAAGTGCTATTTGAAACAATTTATATTCGTGGAAGCCTCATTTAAATTAAGTGAGATGTAATTTGTAATTTACACATCAGCAGAGAAATTTCAAAAATGTATATGCCACTAATTTGAATTGTTTCTTCGGCTTTCTCTTGGTCGTTTCAATTTGTGTTTTCCCCTGAAAACACACGTCCTTGTCCTTGCTATCAATTCATTTCATAAAGCATAATTAGCCTAGTGCGAACTTTTGATATTGAATTGATTGAATTGAGCAAAGTAAACAATTTCTTTTGAAAATATTTATTGTTGCACGTTTCAAACTTAATTCAGTTACAGTTGTTATTTTCCATAGTTTATTTTTTATTTTTTTGAGTGTTTGGGCCTTGGCGTGCTGCTGTGGCAGCTTTTTGTTGTGGACATTTAATATTTATTTGCATTTACATATTTGCCAGCGTCGCGTTGTATAAATATTTAGTTATGCCAAAAACCCAAACGACAGGCCTTAATTAAACATGCATTAACGTGTTGAGCCTCGGCGAGCCTTGCAACAAGTATTCATACCAATTCTTAATGTTACACTTTTAATCATTATACAAATAAATTATGCATGTTTTTCACTTTAATATAAAAAGAGAAAAAAACTTAAATTTACGCCAGCAGATTTGTGTTTTTTTTTTTGCATTTAAACGTTTAATTTAACATTTTTGAGTTTATTTTATAAAACGTTTGCATAACTTTCAAGCCAAGCTCATAGAAATTGGAAATTGGAAAAAGGCTCTGAGATTTTTGGTGTGCTTTAATTTTATTTATCTCTTTTTTTTTCTGTATAGTTTTTGTTGTTGTTTATTTTGTAAAATTGTAGGAAAGTAAGGCAGCAAGTTATAAATGAATTGTGAGTTGGGTTTGTCATTGGATAGAGTAAGGCAGCAAGTTAAGATTTGAGAGATTTTGTTAATTTCTGTATTCAGCAAGTGCTTTGTCACAATTAAGCCGCTTAAATGTACATTTATAAACATTTATATTTAACTAGATATATTTGTCAATGTATAACTATGTATAGCTACCGTAATTATTGAAATTTATGCGCTTTAATTAATTTAATTAAATATGTAGCCATCGAAGAACTCAGTACAAATTTGAATAGCTTTAATGCACATCTAATTGTTGATTTCAATATAATATAATTTTATATAATTATGTTTTGATGCCTTATGCTAATTTCTAAGCAAAATAATTGCATTTACAGGGTATTGAGATTGGAAGGGACATTGTTATCAGTTTTTGTTTCTATTTAATATACAATTTTTAGAACGTTAAATTTAAATAAATAAATAAACCAAAATATAATAAGAAAATAGAGTTGAAAAAGATTTGAAATTTATTCCTTATATGCATTAATTATGTTTTTTTAATTTTTAGTAGTGTAAAATTTTATTATTATTTGGTAATATTTTTGACAAAATAATTTATTTAATTTCTTCGAATAAATTTTAACAAACAAGCCAATTTAAAAAATCTGCTGTCCCGAATTTATATAAAATAATTGATTATTATTCAAGGGTATTTATTGTTTTGAAATTCAATACCAAAATTTACCAATCGTTCCAACTTCGAACCACATAAATATATATATAGGAGTATTAAGAAAAGGCTTTGCAACTATAGCACAATTTTTTGAGCTCGAAATATGCGTACGAAATATTTGATTAAAAATTGTTTTGACTAGAAAATGTTTTATAAACTGTTTATCGAACCTGCTGCCAATTAATAATGGAACTTTCAAAATGGTAAATTCGTTTTTGAAATCAAACATTTTATAGCTCAACAGTTAGTTAGTTAGGCACTTTAAACAATGAAGTGAATATTTTGTTGGTAAATAAGTTTCCTACGCTAAGAAATGCGAAAAGTAACGCCTGCGCGTTTTCCTAGCGATTTTGAAGAGCACGCGCGATTTTAGCAGCGAGCTGAAGCACTTACAGTTTACTTATATATAAAAATAATTAAATTTAAAATGCTTATTTATGATAATGCTATTACTGCAATTGAAACTCTTGCAAGCGATTAACTTTTACTAGTTTTAAGCCTTGTTTTTTATATTAATTTTGTATGTGTGTGTGAGAGTGTGCATGTGTGTGTGTGTGTGGAAATTTGTATATCATTTGAAAAGTTTATCACAAATTTTTCGTTACTGCATTTTACAATTTCCGCTGAGTGTTACTCAAAGTCGGCCTCTTTGAGGCCCAATTGGCTCCTGAACCCCGACAAATGTTTGCCCAGACTGCGACCCGCCGTTGTGGACGACAACAAGAATGAGGTGGAGGCATCCACCCCATTGCTTGGACTCGTCTGATATGTGACGGAGAAATCTGGCGTCGGGGCCAGGAGCAAACCTCACGTGCGCACAAATTTGTACACAATCAAAAAGACCATAAACGAGATGGCCACCAGGACCACAGCGGTTACAACCTTTGCGCACGTATTCAAGCCCGATTCGTGCGGATTTAGCGGCCTGGAACTGGTGTGCGTAGCCGATCTCCGGCGCTTGGTGGCCAGACCGCGCGCCAGCGCTGGAAATGCCAGCGACTGTGTGAAGGTCAATTTGTGTATGGACTCGCTTAGCGAGTAGGGACCCACAGAGCCGCGCGCCGCCGCCCGGAGCAGCACGTACTCCAGATCGAGTGCATCGAAGAGTGAATAACGGGCGGTCATTGTCGATGAACGCCGCCGTCCATCGTGTTGATGTCCGTGTCGCGAGTCACGATCGGATTGTGGCTGCAGCCAAGGATCGGAGACTCGCTGCTGTGCGCCCGCCGCCCCGACAGCATAAGCGGAGGAGGAGCAGGCGCCGCTGCTGGCGGTGGCAATGCCGCCACTGCTGCCACACCCACTGCCACCGACACCAGCAGCTGCCACACCCCCGCCCAGGCTGACCGCTGCCACGGATGTCAGCGACGACGTCGTCGACGACGAGGCCGAGCACAAACGCAAATTGGTGGCCAGCCCATTGTCATGGAACTCATTTGCATCCTCAATGGATGTCTGATCCGGTGAGGTTTGCGCCCGCTCCAGGGCCGCTGCATGCTTCATTCGGAGCGCAAATAGACGCGCATGATCCGGATGCAGCAGCGCACTCGATTTCCGCCGATAATTGGCACCTCCTCCGCTGGACACCACACAGATGCTGTTTCGCATGTGCCGCCGACCCAGCGACAGATTCGGCGAGCCCTGCGTGGGCGTGCTTGTCGGCGACACATGACACGATCCGCCGCCCGTTTGGCCACTGGGCAGTCCATGTACGCCCGGCGGCGCTATAAACGCGTTCGGTGAGGGCGATGCCTGCACGGAATCTATGCCAGAATCGCCTGCGTGCAGGGTATCACAGTACAAGGAGCTGCGCCGCTCTGTTCTCAGTGTCAGGTGATTGTTGCTGCGTCTGCTGCCGGAATTGTTGCTGTCGTTGTTATCGTTGTTGTTGCTGTTGCTGCTGGTGGATGCAACATTGGTGCTGCCGACAGTTGTCTCCACAATGGCGGGAAAGATGAAAGATTGGCCATCCGCTTCGCCGCGCGGTGAGTCCTGTAAATGGCAAAATATTTTTAGATATTCAACAGCCGCAGGGTGTTCCTTGGGTGCACTAGGAAGATTTTCGGGAATTCTTAAGCCATGTGTGCTGGGAGCAGCTGTGGGAGTCAGTTTTCATAATTATTTAGTGAATTGGTGAGTGTTTAATAATATTTGTTTTACTTGTGTTTCATATACTTATATACAAGGTGTGTAGTTAAATCTTGGAATGTTTAAATTGTGTGTGTGCCAGGATTAACAAAATTCAAGCAAAATTTTGGACAACATGAGCGTGACCTTTTTATTTAATTAAATTCAATTGAAAAGTTTTTCGTACAGTTTAATTAAATTTCAATTGACATTTCGACATGTTCGTTATTTTAAATAAAAATTCGTTGGAATATACATTTTTAAAACATTTCACAAGAGTTCGTGTCCAGCAATAAACGAAAACGAAAATGCAAATGTATTTCATTTAATCCCATAAAACAAAACTTTTCTGCTTGATAAAATGCATCGAAACACACTTTAATTTCCGCGGGCTAAAAATTGTTTTAATTAATATTGTTGTTCTGGTTTCTGAGAAACAAGCCATAAAAAAAGTTGATATTAAGTAAGTTTATTAAAACTTTTTGTCTGTTGTTAGTTATTGCGAATTATTTGTAATAAGTAATCGGATTCGTATGTGAGGCTAGTGCATATGGTAGTTATTGTTGTAGCAAAAGGCCATGATAATGATAATAATAAAAAAATCAAGAATATTTAATAAATTTGAAAAGCGTGCAGAAAGTTTTGTGAATTCAAAACAACACTATGAAATATCTAAAGAAAATAGATTTTATTTTCTATCATAAAAATAAACACAAATTACAAAATTGCGTTATTCTGTTAAAAACCCCCGAATGTTTGTGCTTGGAAATGGGCCAAAAAAAAAAACCTAGTCTAATTAATAAACATGTTTAAATACGTAAAAGCCTCAAGTAGGGGGTAGGCTTAATTTGTTGGCTTACTTTTTTACAACAATTTAGTCAAAAAAATGTTCTTGGGCAAAGCGAGCGAGAAGCTCGTGACTTTTGAATATTTATATATGTTAATCGAGGCATGCAAAAAGTCTACGATTTAGTTGTTATTAGTAGAAGTAAAAGTAGCAGTAGTAGTTATTGTATTAGTATAAGTATTAGTTGTATTGAGTATTAAAAAGAGTAAACTAGAGAGACTTGTTGTATTATTGGAACGAAAGCATACCCGCTGGCCCTCGGGGCCGCTGTTACGGCGCAACTGTACGAAGCCCTCCTGGCGCAAAAGCGGCTACCAAACCAGAAACAAACCGGCAAACCAGGAATCAAAATCAAACCAAACACGCAACGCACATACAGAAACACATTGTATAGTATTTGTTGCACAAGAGGCAGAGAGTTTTTTTTTTTTTTTTGTCGAATGGGCGAGGGGTAGAGGGGTGAAAGAGAAAAAAGTTTGTAAAGAAATTAACACAAAACGCACAAAATAACCTCAATAAGAAAAAAGCTGAACAAAAAAAAATAAACAACAGAACGTGAAACAGAAATCATTTTTCGTTATCCGAACTATTGCTGCCATTTCACAGTTCACAGACACACACACACACACACACATGTACAATGACAGATGCACACACACACACATAAAAGCAGAAGTTGTGTGTGTTGGTTGTGCCTACCTGGCTGGGCCACACCTGCAGCAGCGGCAGCGAACAGGATGGCTTGTTGCTACTCGATGCTCCATTGCCCGTTGCAGCTGCTGCTGCCGCTGTGGAGGATGAGGTGGTGCCCGACCCCTGGGAGAGGCTGGTGTAGTGCAGATGATTGAAACGCTGTGCATCGCTGGCTGGTTTTGTTCGGGTCGGGCTCTCATAGCCATTCGAATCCTCCGAGGATGTTGTTTTTGGCGAGCGCCAGAATCGCTTTAGGCGCAGCTCGCGCCTTTTTTCTTGTTTCTGCAACAGAAAGATAAACGAGCCGAAATCGATTAACAGAGCTGTATCGAGATTTCTTTCAGATCTTGTTATAACCAAAATAAAAAATATTGTTTATAAAAATTGCAATAAATATATCCTAACCAAAAGGGCCTTAAGTAATTTAACATTTTTATTTAGCTGGGCTTATTTAAAACAAAAATGAAAAACAGTTTTGTTTTTAATTTGTAATAAATTCACTTAATTCTGACTATGTTCAGTTAAGGGCCCGATGCAAAAGTTTCGTGACCAATTTGAAAGCCAACTTTTTGACATATCACGATAAGTTATCACGACAAGTTAGCACGATTTGTTATCATGATGTGTTATAACAGTTTTAAGTAGCCCTGCCTTCTGCTGCCAATTTTCAACTGACCACATTTTGTGTGTATGTGTGTGTTTTGCTGTTTTTATTGTTGTCGTTTTTCTACGTGGCCAATAAATATTTGTGTTTGTCCCGCAGTTGCCAATGCACCAACTTGCACACACATAAATACGATATACACGTATTTATTTATGTGAAACACCTGTCGGCACTTTTCCATTTGGGATTTCGCCCATGCTGTTGTCGCTGTGCGTTATTATTTTCAATTTAAGGGCAGCTTTGTGTTTGTGCGACTTCTTATTGCAATTTATGTGTGTTGTTGGGCTGCATCTGTGCGACCGTCCACTGGGGGAGGGCTAACGAAGAGCAGGGAAAAGTATTGCAACTTTTTAAATGTTGGGTTTTAAGTCCATCAGCTACATTAGGGTTGCAGATAGAGTAGCGACATACTTTCGTTTTATTTAATTTTTTGCTACATTTTAAAAGATTTAAAGATAACTGAGATTAGATTTTCATAATTTTGCATATGAATGGAAATTGTCTACAAGAATAGCTACATTGCAGCATTAGTATATAAAAAATATATTTAATTCTTAGTATATATACATATTTAACATCATAAATTGCCTTTAATGTAATATTATCCTTAAATATGATGTAGTACTTAAAATAAAACAAATTAATTAAGCATTCGAGCGCGAGTTGCCGCAACATGCAAATAGTTGACGGCTGCTCCGTGTCCTGACCATTTGCAGCTCTGCATGGCAGTTAGTTATTTATAAAAACTGCATAAATTAAAACTGCATTATAAAGTTCTGAAAATAACTGAAGCTCGCTGCAATATGATACACAATTACGCACTGCCTTTTGCGGTTTATGGCAAACGAGCCCTAAAAATAACTAAGACACACAGTTTACAGTTTAAAGTGCATAAATTATATAAAGTATGTAAAATTTAAAATAATGCTTAAATATTTAACAAATTTCTAAAATGAAATCTTAGAAATTAAAGAACTTATTGCAAAATTCGAGGCATTGCTGTAGACAAAATTTACCTGCATATTTTTTGAATATCAAATCCGTTTTATATGTTTGGCTTTTCATCCCCAGTCTGTTGTTGGCGCAAGATGAAAATCGATGGAAAACTGCAGAGGCATAAATTCTGAAAAAAAAAATAGAAAAATAGAATGGGTTGAGCGTCAAGCAAGCAAGAGAGTCATCGTCATTCGGTCGCATCATGTTGTCTCCCAGGAGATGCATCATGCCTTCGGAAGGGGAATGCACATGCACACACGGAACACATTCAACATTTCAATTACTCGCCGCATACAAACAAACATTTCGCATGTTTTATTCGATTTAAGCAAGCTACCAAAGGGCATAAATAGAAAGGAGCTCGTCAACGGCGTCATTTGCCGGAGCAGGCAACGCGCCTTGGCTGTCGCACATTAACACATGACAAGGACAATGGGGAATGAAGAACGGCGACGATGCCATTAGTGTACGACAAGGACATTCGACTGAAACAACATGCAAGCGCACGGCCATAGACCATAGTGTACCGCTCCTTCCCACCCCATACCAGCCAGCTGTTGGTCAAGTTGAAGGGCAAACTCTGCGCATCTACCACATGGATGAACGCTTCGACGAATCCAGAAAAAATAAATCAGCAATTGCAGCCCCAGCTGCGTCTTCACAGATCCTGCTGCGTCTGGTTTATTGGATTTGGTCAGAGCTTTGCCTTCGATTGGCCTAGTTAGTGCTCGAGTTCGAACTTGATGCTCATAATTAGTTTGGCAATTGCGTAGGCACTGGCCTTCGGGTCGGAAGCAGTAATGCACTGTTATTGGAGATGGCTCTTTATAGAAGCAGAAGGTCTGGTTAACTTAAACAACCGATGAAGCAGAAACCAAGGCTAGCTATCAATTCTAATAGCTTTTCAAACAAATATTCATCCATAAAAAGTTTACTGTGATTTCATTAAAATTGAAAAAGTCTTTTCACTTTCATTTAAAGTTGGATGTGTGTTCATAAATAAAAAATAAATCAAAGTTAATACAGAAAAAAACTTGAAAACCAAGCAAGACTTATCTAGTGAAAAGTGCTCGACAGGAAGATATTCTTTATAAGTTTAACAAGGCTATATACATATTAAAATTTAATTTCTGCTCAAATTATGTAACTTGTAACTTATGTAATTATGTAACAAAAAAAACTCTCACTTGAATTCATGAAAATCGCGTAGAAAGGCGACAGTGAGCAAGAAATGTAAAACGGGTTAAATGGTATACGGAAAGCGAGACAGAGGTTGTGAGACAGACAACATCATGAGAATCGCATAGAAGACCTATTCAGCTCTAGCTATGAGGTGTAATAGGATAAGAGCATCATTGGTAACCCTAGCCAGGGTATTATAGTGTCACTATCTATGTTAATTATAACAGTACGATAAGTAAATATCGATAAAGAAAAGCGGCTGCAGAGAAGAAGTGGAAGGCAGTCTCTCTACAGTACTAGCAGTAAGAAGACGTGTTGTTAAAAATAAAAAGGCAACCCGAACATAAGTTAAATCAACGAAGAAAATCATACTATTACAATATCAGAAGTGGGATTGACTCAGAAAAAAAAAAAAAAACACAACAAAATGGAAAATATAAATATAAATGACGTGTCAATAGCGACATTGAAAAGTTGGTTGGCATTACTAAATTTGCCAACAGAGGGTACCAAAACTGAGCTGATGGCGAGATTAAATAAGGTACCAGTGGATATCCGAGACGATGCTGCAAAGGAACTTGAAGTTCAACGTAACAAGGAACAGACAATTGAGGCTCAAAATGAGTTGCAAAACATAATGCAACAACAGCGTGAAGAAATAGCAAATGGCGCCGAGATGCTGAAATTGATGCGTCTCGAAATTGAAGCGTCTCGAAAATTCCTAGAAGAATTTCAAGTAACGGTGAACCGCAACTCGCACATCGGCGGGAGCGACGGGGGAGAGCAAGAAAGTGAAGTCGGCGATTTATTGCAGCTAGAGGATGGTCACACTGAAGAAAGACCACGGTCGACGGATGGCAACGCTGGTGCAGCTGATTACACTGGAACGGATGGCAACGCTGGTGCAGCTGATCACGCTGGTGCAGCGGGCAACGCTGGGGCAGCTGGAAGGATCGACGAAAGTGGCAACGCTGTCGGAGGCAACTTAAATAATTGCATCCAAACTGGAGCGATGATGTTAGCCAAGGAAATTTTATTAGAATTTACTGGAGAAAGTGAGGTGCGTAAATGGGTAATGCAATTCTTCAATGTGGCCAAGATCTACAGACTAAATGATATGCAACAGCACTTGCTTTGTATAAGCAAATTGAAAGGCGGTGCTTTGAAGTGGTTGCATGCAGACCCTATGCGCATCATTGCTCCGATTGACGAGATGCTAAATCAATTGGTTTTGGCCTTCGGGGGAGGATTTTCGAAGTCGGAACTACGACAGAAGTTCGAGGATCGGGTTTGGAAACCAGATGAGGTGTTCGCCACATATTTTAGCGAAAAAAGCATATTGGCACAGGACATCAACATTGATGTAGAGGAGTTAATGGAGGGTATTATTCGAGGCATACCTTGCGAAAACTTGCGCACTCAAGCTAGTATGCATTGCTTTACCAATCCGGCTCAAATTTTACGTGCGTTTGCAGCTATAAAGTTGCCAATTAAACGGGTACGAAACCATGTAGTGAAACAAACTGCACAGGAAGCACAGGCGGACAAACAACAACGTTGCTACAATTGCAATGTTAAGGGCCATTGGGCCAAAGATTGTTTAAAGCCCAAACGGGAGGCAGGATCTTGCTATGCGTGCGGCTCAAAGGATCATTTAATAGCAGGATGTCCAAATAAAAAGTATGATATGGAAAACAAATATGTAAGATACTTAAGAATTCATTTTAGTAACTCATTTAACAAATCAATAATTGCAGAATGCCTTATAGACTCTGGCAGCCCTATTTCATTTTTAAAGGAAAAGTTTGTGCCATTAAAAGTAAAGCGTATGCCAGATGCAAATTCGTATGTAGGTTTAAATGAAAGTAAATTGAAAAATTTTGGAAAAATTTTATGTTTTATGAAGAAAAAGTTAATAAATGTTTATTTTAATGTTATAATTGTGGCAAATGAGTCTATGAGGTATGACGCTGTGCTTGGTAGAGATTTTATGGATTCTTTTGGTTTAAATATTGATTTAAGAACATTAAAAATTGTGAACGGGCATAAAGTTGATCACCAGAATAATGGTAAAAATGATATCATAGCTACAAGCTACAAAGAAAAACAAAAAAAAGTGGACGATGAAGATATCAAACACGAGCAAAATGAAACTATATTGTTAAATGATAAAATCGTTAATAAGGAAATAGTCAGTAATGAAACTGTTAGTGATGAATTAGTTAGTGAGAAAATTGTTAGTCCGGAAACGCTTGGTGATAAAGTTGGTAGTGATGAGATAGTTAGAAATAAAATAATTAGTGGTGAAATAGTTAGAAATGAAGTGATTGGGATCGAAACTGTTAGTGATGAGATAGTTAGTTATGGAGAGCTTAAGCTCGAACCTGATAGTGAAGAAGTTGTTAGTGATGAAATTATCTATAATCAAACCGGGATTGAAAAAGTGATTATAGAAGATATAGGAAACAGTGCAGTTAAAATTAATAATCATGTTAATGAAGCGCCAGTGAATAGCGAAATCATGGGAGTGTTAGAAGAGAATTTTGAGAAGGATATCTTAACAATAAGTTGGGAAGATTCTAACAAAAGAGAAAATATATATATTTTAAGTGAAGATATTGATTACAGCACAAAGTGTGAATTTGAAAATTTATTTGAAAATACTTATGTAAAAGCGAAAAGGCCAAATCAGCCAAAATTAAGACATGAGTTAAGCATAAGATTAGAAAACGACAAAGTATTTAATTGTACACCTAGGCGGTTATCTTATATGGAAAAAGAAAAGTTGCAAGAATTATTAGACGACTATTTAAAAGATGGAATCATTAGGCCAAGTTGTTCAGAGTATGCATCACCTATAGTACTAGTGAAGAAAAAAACTGGAGACATGAGGTTATGTATTGATTTTAGAAGACTGAACAAAATTATATGTAGAGACAACTACCCGCTACCATTGATCGACGATTTATTAGACAGACTATGCGGAAAAACAGTATTTTCAAAGTTGGATCTAAAAAACGGGTATTTTCATGTTTTTGTTAATGAGCAATCTATTAAATACACTTCATTTGTTACCCCTTTAGGACAATATGAATTTCTTAGGATGCCCATGGGTTTAAAAACTGCGCCACATGTATTTCAAAGATTTGTTAATAACATATTTTGTGATATGATAAAAGATAATAAGGTAATTGTTTACATGGATGATATTATGATAGCAAGTACAAACATAAAGGAACACATGGAGACCTTAAAGGAAGTGTTTATAAGACTGGTGCAAAACAAATTAGAGTTGAAATTAGATAAGTGTGAATTTTTTAAAAGCAGCGTTAAATATTTAGGATTTGTGGTGGATAGTAAAGGCGTTAGGGCTGATGAAAAAGGGTTAGAAGCGGTTAAATCCTTTCCAATACCAAACAAAATTCAGGGAGTACAAAGTTTCCTAGGGTTATGCTCCTACTTCAGGAGGTTCATTTTAAACTTTTCTATATTAGCTAAACCCTTATATGATTTATTGAAAAAAGATAAGAAATTCAAGTTTGGAGAAGAGGAGTTTAAGTGTTTTAATATGTTAAAAGATAAATTGTTAGAGGCGCCAGTACTATCAATATATAATTACAAAGAAGAAATAGAACTACATTGTGATGCCAGCGCAGTGGGATTTGGGGCTGTTTTATTTCAAAAAAAAGAAGATAGGAAATTACACCCGATTTTTTATTTTTCTAAAAGAACAACCGAAGTAGAGTCTAAATATCATAGTTTTGAGTTAGAAACGCTAGCCATCATTTACGCATTACGCAGATTTCGTATATATCTGCAGGGAAAACGATTTAAAATAATGACAGATTGCAACTCTTTAACTTTAACGCTTAACAAAATAGATTTAAATCCGAGAATTGCTAGATGGGCGTTAGAACTACAAAATTACGATTTTGAGTTAGTGCA